GGGTTGCGGGGGGGGGCGGGGAGAGGGTGTGTTGTTGGTTTGGTTTGTTGGTTTTTCTTTTAGAAAATTTTAAACTTGCACCTGAAAAATGGGAAAGAGGGAGACGAGCTGCATTTGGACTCCAGGGTTGCAATCTGATGGGCACTGTTGTGTAGTTGCATTTTCGGACAAGGACACAGTCCAAAGGTGGAGGCCAGGTATAACTCCCCTGCCAGCAGCATCCCAGGAGCTACAGCTCCTCCTCCTCATTTGCTTTGCCCTAGGAACTGATGATTTCCTGCTGACTGCTGGCCCTCAGCGACCCTTGTGGCCAACAGACAGACTGGGGTGAGTATGCAGTAGCCCCTTCTAAAGCTGAAGCAGTCTTCACAGGCACGTGAAAAGAAAGAGTTTTACCCTACGCCTGAAACCCATGCTTCAAATCACTTGTTTGCAAGCAACCCCTACACGAGGACAGTGGCAAAAGACAGCCTCAAGTGACCCAAATTTGACATCGGCCTGCTTTGCTTCCCTTGCACCACACTAAACTCCTCTGTGGATGGCACAGTCAAGTTGGCTGGCACCAAATCTGCAATGAAGCCACAAAATAACTTACAACAGCTACAGTCACAGCTACTCACCCTCCTGCAGCGGCAGCATGGAGGCACGTTCTTCCAAAACTATCAGGGGTGTCTATTTCAAAGCCTGCAGACAGCACGTGCTCATTACTAAACAAGGACACTATGCTATACTTTTGTCCTAGTTAAACCACAAGAAACATTGCAGAGACAGAAAAATCAGTTAGTTGGAAAAAAAACAGAACGCAAGCAACTACAGTCAGAAAGAGGTTGTCACGGGAACGGCAAGCAGCTGCTCCAGTTTGGCAGCTCTATAAAAAGAGCTGCAAAGTCGACGAGCATCTATTTCCGCATCCAGCTCTGCGCCACATCCCTATTTAAAACCATGTGACAGGCATTTATGAAGCAGATACTTGTCAAGAGGACTGCAACAGCAGGACACGAAGACAGAAAACATGAAGAAATGAGGAGAAACCACAGTGTCAGCCTGAACATGAAATGGAACCATTTTTATTGTGTGTGGATTTTCAGGTTGGAAAGAGTCTTCCAGGAACATGCAGGGATATTCATGAAGATGCACAAGGCCACAGATATAAGCCTGGCATTATTAACTCTGGTCACCCAGAGCTTTTTCTCTTCCTTCCTGATCTAGTGGTCAAGGCCAGAGCATGCCAAGGTTTAATGTAATGGGGTATGTAATTGCCATTTTTCACACTTTTTTTATATCCTACAGGACTCAAGTTTAGGGGAAAAAGTAGTTGTAGGAGATTTTACATGTTAAGTAATGAAGCAATTTTCTACAAAAGCGTATAATCTCCTTATGATTTTTTAACTCATGGGAACTCTTGCCTGGAAAAAAAGAATTTGGGATTTAGCACCTGATTACTGCCTCTTTTGAAACAGCTGCATCAGCAAATGGCTGCTGCTTCTGCTTTGGGCTCTGGTGAGGGTCCTGAGACTGCTCTCTCGACACCACACTTTCACTCGTTTCCCCTCGTGTGCCCACAGAGCTTTGGCGAGCCTAACTCCTTTACTCTGTCTGGATTCAGAAACACACTTCAGCTGTATCTAAAAAACATCATCATCTGTGAGATGTAAACACCTGCTCCCGTGCAGGCCCCAAGGAGAGAATTTCCTGAATTATTCCTTTGGGGGGAAAAAAACCCAAACCAAAACAGTATCCCACATTCCTACAGTTTGGGAAAGGGTCCTAAATTTCCTCCCTCCTCCTGGTGTATTAATATAAACTCTCTGAACCTGCGAGGAGACAAGACCCATACAGGATGCAGGAAGTACCAGCATGCCGTTAGGAAAGCCTCACGCGCTCCCGTCCACCACACCACACAGCCGAACGCAGCAGCACAGGAAGTCTTTCATTTGAACAATCCACAGCAATGAGTATAAAGGGGCTGTAAGCAGCAGAGACACACACTACTCGAGCTCCACAGACACTGCAGGATTTACTTACCCGATGACAACAATTTCCTGCAGCAGTCTGAGTGAGCATTCAGCGCTGCTAAGTGTAAAGGGAACATGTTGTGGATCCCGCACCTGAAAGGCACAACAGCCTCATTACACAGAGTCATGTGAAGATGCAGGTTGCATACAGACACAACGCATCAAAAGCTCCTTCCACAAAGGCAGCATTTTTTATCCTTTTCGAGGAAGATTCTTCCTGCCATGTTATTTTTATCTGTATTTCCTTACCAGCCTTTTCAGGAGCTAAAAATATTCTGATACAGCAAGGTCTTGGCATTACGCTTTGAACAGAATGTGGCAGGAAGGTTTCTAAAAATTCAAGGTGAAAGCCAAGGTGAGGAAGGAAGCAAGAGAGCAGATATTGCTCGGGTCAATTTCCCGGTGTGGAACGCACAAATTTCTGCATCAGCTGCACATACTGCAACTGTCATTCTGAGGTAAAAGTAAATGCTGAAATCTTCTCAATATTATTTCTGAAATCCATTTTTCCTGCTATTAACATCCTTTAGATAACTGTCGTGCAGATTTTCAAAGTCTCCCTTTCTTCCCTTTCTCTCTCCCGTGGGGCTGGGGTAGCTGATGACTCTTCTTCACACTTTCCTTTAGGCTGCTGTGACACTTGCAGTTTTCTTCCCACACCCTAAGAACTAAACACCTAATTTTCCTATTTGCTCCAGCTACTCTCCTCACACTCCCTTTCATTTTCCCCCCCCTTTAACACATGACCCTCTTTTCAATTACACTATAAACTTCTCAGAGCAGACATGCTGGCTAAAAAAAAAATCAAACGGGTAGGCACCTATCATTAGGCTAAATCTGTATCAGGCAACCACGTAGTTTTTAAACAAGCTGAGCACTCAGCAGCTTTTATTAATACCAGTAAATCATCCCAGTTCAGTCCCTAAGCATGCCGCTGTTTGCTGTCTTAGAAGACTTTTAGGTTTGGACATCTTGGCTTCTGTCATTTAGCATTGTTTTGTGAAAAGCATCCTGTTATTCTAGAAATACTGTCCTACTGGCAGTCCTCCAAGTGCACATAAATATAGAGCCTCTGAAACCAACTATCTCGACAAGATTATCATCTACTGCCTGCTTCAGCAGATATATTTTTGAAAAATGACAAACTTTTGAACAATAGCAGATGGATTCATATCTGCCCTTCATTTCTGCAAGACAACTGGTGCATGGGAGAGTATGATCACGTCATGGAAGAGGATCTCAGATATGGACCCAAAGACAAAGGAACTTGTCTTTCTGCAAGATTCACCATAAATGATAAATACTTATGAAGCTTTAGACAAAAATGAATGTGGATGTTTATAAAGACATCTTGCTCTTTCCAACATTTTATACATATATGTATTTAACTATTTTTGGTTTGTTTTTAAAAAACTTATTCTTTCCAGAATCCACAGGCCTATCCTTTCTCTGTCTTGACGTTAAATGCGTCCTCCTTGCTGCTTCACTACACTTAGGAGTGACTTGTGGTGCTGTACATATTTTAATTTTGCTAGTGTCAGCACCTACATCTTAGAGTAAATCTATTAAAAGATGATCTGACAACCTATCCTTTGAAGGAAACAGCACAAGCTCCACCAAGCTGCTGCATCTGTATAAACAGGTTGCAGTTTTTAGCTGTGGATTCATTTATTTAAGCTAACATTGGACATTCTGTATTGCTGTGCCTCTTCCTACACCCATTTCTCTCTATCTTCTCCTCCACCTAGTTATCTAAAGTAATATTTTTCTTCTTTTAGGTCAAGATTTCCACCCAGCACTTTTTGGCCGGTTTCCATTGAAATACACTATCTGCACATCTGCTAACCAGTGTCACACTTCTATAGCGCTGTTCACACTGGTTCCTCCCATCACTTACACACTTTCTCCTTTAAATGCAGTCGCCTCGAAGACTGACTGAGCTGTCTGCAGTTGTCGCTAACAATGCTGCAGAATTTTCTTTTCAAAGCCAGTTTGGGGAGCTCAGCCAGAGTTATTTACATGCAGCACATATGAAAGCCCATTTCCAGTGTTTCAATGCTCCTTGTTTAGCACAGACAGTAGCATCATTTGGATCTGCCTGGCATCTCTGAGTCAACTTCTTATTTCACTTATTTTTGCTGCTGGAAAAAGTATTTTATTTGATCAATGTTCCAGCCACCCAAGTGTGAAATAGAAATTTCTAACTGGATAACCCAGATTCCAAGAGTGGGCTATCCCACTACATCTCATTTTCCCTTTAAACCTCAAGATAAGAGACAGACTAAGACTTACTGTACTGGAGAAAGAGCTAGGAAAAATAGGCATCTATTTAGACACCAAGAACTTCATGCTGGCTATGTTAATAAAATCCAGTGACGTTAGCTGAAGCCTGTGAAATTTCATTATCCATGCCAATTGAAGATCTGTTCCACCTTCCAAGTTTGCATGGTGACAGTCATACTTGATAAAGGAATATGGGCAAATGTGCCACTTTCTTAAACATAGTCAAGCAAACAGACAAAATACTGAGAGCTGCAAGTATCTTCAAAATTAAAACCAGCTCGTTTGCATCTGAAAGCAGGTTTTCCTAATTAGGTAAGTCAAAAGAAGTCACCAATTTCTATGGTAGGTTCTAGGTAGAAGACTTTTAAAACCTATTTTGGACACATGTTGAGGTAATTGCCAAAAACTTACATTCATGAAATCAGCTGCTGCTGTTAAACACCTGGTACAGATACCCCTCATGGTATTGCATTACTCTGGTCTTATATCCCTTTGTTTACCTTCAGATTTGCTATTTTCTTTTGACAGACCATAAGAACCTGAACATAACTAACCAATACTCAAGTACTCTTAAAAATAAAAATAAACATGTTGCCAATGTTTGAGTTGACAATACTTATCATATTGTAGGTGCAGTCTTGACATTTGTGCAAGAAAAAAAACAAACAAACAAAAAAATGAATTGAAGCAGAAAGCACTAACAACATTTAGAAATGTGTCTAATTTCAATTCTTTGTCCCTCTATTCAAAAACGACTCCCAAACTCACAAATCAGATAAAAGCAGCCCTATTATTTCAGCCATCTGAATATCAGAAACCATGCAACATCAAGACAGGCTCTTGTTAAACTGAGATCAGAAATACTTAGTAATACTTTGCAATACTGCATTTCTATTGATTACCCTATGTCATACCAAAAGATACAAGACAAAAGAATAATCACCATGTATGACAGACCACTAAACATTAAGCTAATTTAGATACCAAGGAATACGCACACAATTCCCTTGAAAGGCATCCGAATTTTTTTCAACTACGTTTCCTAGACAAACTACAGACTTTCTGGAATAACTGTGATCAAGATGCACTTTAGATACATATGTACTTCACGTACATTATATACCACTGTGCCACATCAATGTTTCAGGAGAAAGAAGCAGTACTTGTACTCCTTGTAACTGCATAACTGGGCACAACAGGAACTTAGCAGGGCTTCCTTCCCCTCCATACTTCTTGAGTGTTCATATTTTAGCCCCATGTCACCCACTGAAGTACAGTACAATTATGCTTATTCATTTTAACCTTCATATACTTCAGAACCTGAGGAATAACTGTTTCCAGGCATCGGACACAACACTTGATCATTAGAAACAGCTCCACTTCAGCCACCTACTTGGCAGTATCAGCTCCACTGGTTATGAGGGTGTTAATCAAAAGCTCATGTCCGTATCTTGCAGCCACGTGCAGAGGGGTGTTACCATCCTTATCAACACAGTCAATTTCCCCTCCTGCAAAAGACATTTTCATACAGTTTAACACTGAAAGATTAAGCATGAACCAGTGACCACAAACGTTATTTCTCTCTAGCGAATACAGCATAAGCAGCCCAGCCACAGGCACTAAATTTGAGAGACCAAGAACCAGCACACAGCAAGCTGTCAGCTGTCACCCATTGGTACTTAACGTGGTCTGGCAGCAGCATTTTCATCTCCCTCTCCAACTGCAGTGGTGGGGAAAATGGTGGGAAATAGGTGAACAGGATGACATATGATGGTAAAGTACATGATACAGACCTGCTGCTCATCTAAAGGTACAAATGGATGCCTTGAATTAAACTAACAAAATAAACTGCTGAAACTATGCCCTTATTCATAAAGGCATTGCCACTCAACTCAACCTTACCTGTAAGGCACTAATGTTAAATAAGAGTTCATTCAAGAGGCCAGCAGGAACACACTGCAAACAACAAGCATGTTGTGTGCCTTCTCTGTGTCTTACCAAAGAACAACCAAACAGCGCTTAAGTAGAACTTTTCCTGTTGCAATTTAAGCCTGTCATCTCATGTTTTATCTTCATAAGCAGGAAAAATAAATTATTTCTTTCTTCTCTGCTGTGGCTTTTGACTCATGCAAAGATTGCTATCAAGCCCTTGTTTTCTTTTTGGACCAAGGAACTGTAATTTTTTCAGTCTCTCCTTGTAAGTCAGGTTTGCTGCACTCCAGCTATTCTCGTCCTTCCCCTAGTCCTCTCCAGCTGGCCCACATCCTTCTAGAAGTAAAATGTCAAAAGGCAGAAACAGTATTACAGCTGACATCTCCCAACACTGAGCTGAGCAAAAGGATTACTTCATGCCTGCTGGCTACGCTCCTATCTATACACTCCTGTACATTGTACAGCACCATGTACATTGTTGATCTTTTTTTTTAAGCACTATAACACTGTTGAATTGTGGTCAACAAGCTTCTGATCCTCTACAAGCCCCAGAACCTTTCTTGAGGAACCGCCACCCACCTGGCTGTTGCCGTTCTGAACTTGTCCAGCTGATACTCCTGCCTGAGTGTGTGATCTTCCCTTTGCTTCACTTGCATTATCCTTTTACAGGATCATTTTCCATTTCCATTTCCATTTCTCCACCTTCTGCCAAACTAACAGTCTCTCCCAACTTCATGTTTTCTCCAAATGTTAAAAGCACGTTTTCTATTCCACTATCCAAGTTGTTAATGAAAATAGTGGGTAGTTCCAGACCCAGGGGGGGAACTGAAAACGCCCTCACTACACCTTCCATTTCAACAACAATCCATTTATTACTAATCTCCAAGAGTAGTTTTTCAACTAGTTACGTACCAACACTGTAATATTTTTAATAGTCCACTAGTTTGCTGTGAGAATACTTTATGAAAGCATGTAAAAAGTCTTGCTGACATCAGGATATGGTAGTGTTTACTGCATGTCCACTATTCACAGGAGATAACAGGCCATAACTGCAACAAGGAAAGTTCTAGCAAAGCACTGTACAGCATTTTCTAATGGTAAATAAAGATCAGTGAAATGCTGGAACAGGTTCCCTGGGGTGGAGCCTCCACCAGCGGAGGTCTCCATGAACATTACCTGCCCACAGAAAAGTCAGAGGACTGTGCTGTGTTCACAAAGCCTATTACTCTGCTGTAGAAGAGAATTATGATGCTTCAGCATCTTTTACTCTTGAGAAATCTATGCCAGATATTGCCCACTCCTCCCTAACTGTTTACAAACAGTTTGTTCATTCCCCATTTTTAACGATAGGTATCACATTTGCAATTTTAAGGTAATCCATTCTTCCTCTACAAGTCACTAGAGGTAGCAGCCAGAAATTGAGACATCTTTGGCCAACTCATTAAGTACTGCAGAATGAAACTCCATTTTTTTAAATCATTGACATTTCTGTCTTCCGCAATATCCCACAGCAACGAGGCATAAAGTCACTTGCAATCAGATCTGTGTACAACACTAAAATTAGAGGGGCAACAAAGAAAGAAAGAAAGAAGTGAAACCCAAGTAACTTGAAGAAGAGTAGAGAGGCGTGAAGGACAGCTGAAGAACTGCCAGTACTTTCACAGACAAATCCAACAGAGAGCAAACAACAGCTGTAAGTCAGAGAGCATATTTGACTAAACAACTAAAAATTGCATGAAGGCCCAGTTTCTTCCAGTTTGCCCAAACTCATTTTATTATTACTATTTTATTTATCTGAGGAGAGATATGACAACAATTTGCATGATGACCTGAAAGAAGCATGATGTACTGAAGACCTCCATTTTAAAATACAATCTTGTGTAAATGTATCATTACATTTACAGCGTAACTGTTCAGCCATCTTCAACTTCTCACACTTAAGTCCCAAGTTTGGGATTTTGGAAAACAAACAAAAAACCCAACCAACCAACAAACCCAGATCATCCTGTCTGGTATAATGGCCAAAGCTGGGAAGCATAAATAAACAATCAGTAATAGCAACCTCTGTCAATCAGAAACAGGCCTCTGCCAGATCTCCAACAGTAATATTTGTTATACGCTGTAGTATTGTTGAACAAGAGATACCTGATAAATGACTGATAATCAGGAATCCTGGCTATGCCAGAACAAACAGGGTGGCGCTGGTCCACCCTCCTGAGCATTTATTCAACACTTAATGAAGACAGTGGCAAGGGGTGGAGCTAAGGAAGGTGAGAGAAGTACAGCTGCTGAGTGGAGGGTAGAGAAAACGGTCTGAGCTCTAAGAACACCAGGGCTCCCAAAGGAGGACGACTGGAAACCTTTTCTTTTTTTAGTTTTTAAATAATTTGAGAAAGAAAGTTGTGCCTGCTTCTGAGCAGAAAAAAGACCTAAATGCAGCTTTGAACTCTTGTTTTCAGGTTAAAAATAACAACAGATCAGCTGGACCACCATCAGCTGGAGGAATATGGGATTTTGTTAAACAACCAAAATCTCAACTTGTGATGACATGCTGGAATGAGAGTTGTCAGTGCAGCTCAAAGCCAGAAGTTGATGGAGAGCTAAGCAGCTCTCAGAGCAGTCCTTTGGCACTCTGGGTCAGAACAACTAAAAATTGCAAACTTGGAAACGCCTAATCTTTTGGAGAGTCATTAAACAGGCACAGAAACTCACCATTCTGAATGAGGGTCTGCGACCGTGTGAACCTCCCATGGACAGCTGTCATGTGTAGCGGGCTCTTCCCATCCTTACTCTAACAGAAACAAAACATAAGAACAACCATTTAGCATGTAAAGCAGTGGTAACAATTTGAAGTTTCTCAGCTTAACATCCTACAGCTCTTTTTCAGATAAAATCTCCACTGGCTTCAAAAGTCTATAGGACTGAATCTATACTTATAGTAAATGCAGAAAGTATAAGCATACAAGTAAAACGGTTCCTCGGCAATGAGTAGGAAATGGGCTGGAGTGGAGCCTGTCCTTACAGCCTGGCTGTATACAATACCTGCTAGAAACCTACAGATACATGAGATATTATTCTTGAATATTATTTTTAAGTAACATTCGCCATTCAGTCATTATTTTCCCTTGCAATGTGGGGAATAAAGAAAAGCAAAGGAACCATAAAGCTAAGTAGGAGCTGTCTCTGAGAGATTCAAGAACTATATTCTGTTTATCAATCTGCATTTTATAGATACATCCCAGAATAAAAGCCACTATATTAAAAAGTTTTGGTTAATAAATCCCCATGCAACCAAAAATAGGATGCCTACAAAAGACAATTAGAAAACAGGGAAGGCATATGAAAGGAAGGTACAATGAGTAGAGATCAATGCTTTGGGTTCTCGAGAAAGAAACTGAAATTGGGGAAGCCAAGGAGCTGAGAAAATAACAAGGGAAGGGTACCAGCCTCACTACTCACATCACTACATGTTTACTGGCATGGGGTTTTGCATTCATTGGCAAGCACAATCGCCAATTTCATCTTAATAATTGTGAGTTTAAACAGTGCACTGACTATTCACTGATCTCAAGGGACTCGCCAAAGGTGTTGAATGCTAGGAGACCAGTTTTACAGATGGGAAACTGAAACACACAGAGTTTAAAGTAAAACAGTCAAAATCTTATATGAACTCAAGTCTTCTGGTACCCATACCAGTGCCCTCTGTTGGGTAACAGCAAGTCCCTTTCAGCTTCATCAAGATGAATCAGCTGTATCTCAAGAGCATTCAGATATCCTAAATAGAATCACACTTCATACACTCAGGCTCTAAAACAGGTAAACAAACAACCTTCAGTTCTTAATTCCCTGGGAAAGTCAAGAGGAACATTTTAGAATCTGGTTTAATTAAATCCATATTGTAGAGGGAAGGAAAACACCAGAAAGGAATAGTTCCTTGACTTACCACCACTCCCTGAGATAACATTTTGACAGAGCTCCTGGGACTATATTTTACTAGTGATTCATGCCTTCAGGAGAGTGGCTGGCCTAGAGTTTAAAGCTGCCATTATATTTTTCAAGGCACTGAGAGCTCCTCTGCTGGGAAGTAATCTCATCCAAACAATTTAATGGTCAACATTCTCAGCATCACTCTACTTCCATCAAGTATTTAAAGCCATGCTGTACTCGTTATTATAGTTTCCAGTCTCCTGAGGTATGCAAAATAGGATAAAGTAAAACTGAAGAGCTGCAATGCAAGTTTTACCTGAATATTAACATCTGCCCCATTATTCACTAGTAGTTCAAGACACAGTGCTCCATGAGTGGAAGCAGCAGCAAAATGCAAGGGAGTGAATCCATTATTATTAGGCTGATTTACATTAGCACCATAGTCAATCAGCTCATTAACAACAGAATCCTGACCATTGTAACAGGCAATGTGAAGTGCAGTATTTCCATAGATGTTCATTTCATCAATCTAAAATGAGACAAGGAGACATAGTTAAAATTACAGACATCAGCTTACCATTTTACATAATGCATCACATACTGCAAATGGAAATAGCTGGAGGCTTGAACTGTCATAGGGCGTATTTCTCACCACCAGATTTCATTGACAAAAATATACTCACAGAGAGCTTAATTTGGAATGCTTTACCTTTACCATTATTAACTTTTTATCTTACTGGCCACTTCTAAAAGCCAGTATGAAGCTTAAAGCTGATAGCAGGACTATATAATGATGATGATGACAAAAGTCCTAACAAACTGGAAAGCTTTTACATATAAGTGGGCAAGTAGAATAAATAAAAAGCTCACAATCTTTATTTAAAAAAAATTAAAACACTGACTATTGAATTTTTATGAACAGAATCAGGCTTAAGAGCTCTTTCCACAGATTGCTTTTGTGAAGGGAGTGAAGGTGTCTGAAGGGAAGGTTAAACTGCACAGCCATTTACACTTGAGTAAGAAACCACTTTCAGTAGCTCAGTATTATAAAGATATAATTAAGATTACGTTAATTCTTGATGACCAGCTTAGTATTCAACTGCTGTTCTGTAAAATAGGACAAGACAGATTGTACAAAAGACTCAAGGATGACGTGAATACCCTTCCATGAAATACAGGCGTCTCAAAGATCATACCCCCAGTGGTGGAGAATGTGAAAGTTAAAGGTAGTTAGCAGCATAGTACTGCTAATAACAGGAAACACCTATTCCCCTTCAACTTCACAGTCAACAGCCTGTGAACATGGACTTCTGACTTTTTTTTGGCAGATCAAGTCAGCTGAAAATGCAATGGCAAATGCCATAGCTTTATTTGACATCTCTGATTAACCAGTGCAGGCTCTTCTGATCATCTCACTGCTGCTTTGAACCACTGAGTTGACAATATTATACTAAGAGAAGTCTGTGCCCTGAAAAAAAGTTCTTTTACAGAGTGAAAATAGTCCTTCTCCTTCCCTCCATCAGCTACAGAGGAAATACAGGTCCCTAAACTTAAACCGCCTGAACTACCGCTTAGTAAAGTATGCAGCATCTATGTTGAGAAGAACCTCTCATCATATCAAAGGGAATGCTGAGCCAAGGAAAATTTCATTAATCCATCTTCCTCTGCAGGAACAGCATATATTTTCTGATTTCTTCAGCAAGGTGGCCTGGATTTACTGCCTATATCAGACATTTTTTATTCCAGAATGTTTCCTGGCTCTTGAACCAATAAACCACATAAAAAAGCACAAGGTGGTCCAGAAAATGAGAACTATTTTCTTTAGAAGCTCTGCCAATGTCTGTAGCAGCATCCGTAAGAAAGAAGAAAAGAATATCTCCAAATATGGAGAAACATGGAAGCCACAAAGTGCACATTACCACATACCTCTACCCCCAGGTTAAGGAGGTGTTTCACAATGTTAATCTGCCCATTGGATGCAGCTGCATGAAGTGGGGTGTAACCCTTCTTGTCTTTACAAGTCACTTCTGCACCATGATTAATCAGTAAGGCAACAACTTCCAGGTGACCTTCAAAAGATTAAAGATAGTAATCAATGAGTATACCATCCTACAGCACCACTTCTCCCAATTACTGCTTTCTTGCTAATACACTTCCCCTTTCACTGCTGTTTCACAATGCTCCCACAGTTTTACAAGGGAAAAAACAGCATTTTTATAAGTGTTCTTAATCCCAGCTCCAGGCCTTGTCAAGAAAGTCACGCAGTCACCTTCACCAGATGTGTCAAATTTCTCTTTACTAAATTAGTCTTCCAGTCATTAAAAGAACAAAACCACACTCTTTCCCATTTATTTCTCTAAAAATAACAGTTTTTGTTTTACTCTCCCTGTTACAGAAAGAACAGTGAGCACAGGAGCATGACAATACAAATCTCCCAAAACAGCTGATCCTGATGATGTCATCTGCAAACACAACTGCTATCACTTGTTGGGTTTTGTTAGCAATACAAAAAAAACTTCTAATAAATGATAAAATGAAGGTATCCTCTTTTCTAGCACCACTGAGGACACAGAAAACTAAATTTCAAGTAAGCGCAAATTTGATCCAAAGCCTACCAATACAAACACAAGATTTTCTACTGAATCCACTGATCTTTGGATCAGGTTTTTGACTCTCCAAAACTGTATCATTAACACAAAACTGTGCAAAAAATCCTGAATACAGGTCTAAAAATGTTTGAATCTAAACTCATAGTCTATACACACATACTTAGTCCGCAATAGCCTCAACAGTCACACAGACTGAGAGCTGCTGACTGCCAGATCAATGGGACATCTGTCTTCAGGAGTCAAATGCCTACCCCTGAATTAGGATCTCCCTACAGAATACAGGGGAAGAACAGAGCATCTCAAAATAAAATTTATAACCCACCTGTATCTTCAGTTTCCTCCTCTCCCTGAAAGTCTCAAACCAACTGGCCTGCCTTCCCAGGTAGTGCCCTAACCACCAAATTTAAATCAAGGCTAACTGAGGAATAGTCCTTATTGCTTCATGTTGAAGCAGAGCTGTCTTAGAACTAAAAATTTATTATGTCAAACACCACATAAAGCTGTGCACCATCTGAATTGTACGGCACTTTCATGACAGAGGCAGCTCTGGTCATGTGCAGGACCTCAGAAACTTTATGGACAAAGTCCAAAGTGCCCAAAGATATTTAAGCACTCAGGAAACTACGTGAGGGTTTACAGGATGAGATGCTCAGGTCTCATTATCTAAATTCTGTCCAAATTACACTACAGACTCCTAAAACCCATTGCTAATTTAGGCCTTAAATGTTATCTAAATATTTTGAAAAGTACATCATGCTTTTCTGAAACAAATTAAGAGCAAAAGAGATGTGGAATTGCACAGCACAATGTAAAAAGCCTTTCACCTCTGTAGCGTGGAGTTCAAAGCTCGCTAGCTCAAAAGCCAAATCACATTTGTTGGCAAGAGTTTTTCCATCTGTCTGTGTACATCAAAAAAAACCACAACATGCTTTTCTCACGGTTTGAAATCTCCTATTATCTCATTTCCAAAAGTGCCAGGATTAAAATCATGATTTTGACAGGTCAGATGGAAGAGTTCCTGGCTGAGGGCACACACCACCTCACAAATTATAATCTGGAATATACTGCTTGCCCAACAAAAGCTCTTGAACAAGTTGGACCACTACCACAGGCAATCTTGTTCTAGCATTTTTAAATTATAATGCCCCACTATAAAAAATTTTCCTTTAACTTGAAAGGAATGATAAGGTCTATTGATTTAATTAAGCAATATTTGGTAACACCACTGATGTTCTGAATAGACAAATCGGTTGCTCTTGTCCACTCTAGAATAAAAGATGACAATTTGCTCCTAACAGGAAGAAAGCCTAGGAACCACTTCCTAACAATATCATAACTTAGCTACTTACAAACATAGATAAACAGCAAAATTTATGATCATATTTATCTGCATTTTATATAAAGTAGTTTTTAGCAAACACTGAAACAAATATAACCTGTATTTTTTCAAGTTCAAATATACTTCAGGCTGGAATTAAAGTCAGAAAAAAGACCAAAATGAAAAAAGCAACACACAAAGCCCACAATTAACTGTGTTAAAAAGGAAATCACAGCCAAGTTGTCACCAGCTGCAAAATCGTAAATGGACAATGTGTATTTAGATCAGCTGAACCCTTGCCTCCCCAGGGTAAATACAACGCTCACTTTCCATGGCCAGGTCTGCTCTTGTCCATTTTAAAACATGCTGTTAGTTTGTGAATAGGAAATTAAAAAGAAGGAGCAACAGCCCAAGCCTTACCCATGTACGCTGCCCAGTGAAGAGCTCTTCTGTCCTTTTTGTCAAAAGCATTGATGTTTGCCCCCTTGGCTAAGAGCAGGTTCACCATCTAGAAGTAACAACAGCAGGTAAACCAACCCTGTAGGTGACACACTCGGCATTTTATAACAAATCACTCTGGCAATAAAGTTGGGATCACAAAATCCTGCTTTTGAATGATAAATTTGTGAATTACACAAATACTGTTCAAAGCTGCGTGCATTAATGTGGTGATGGTCGCAAGTAACCAGGACAAGTTCTGTGTCCACAGAGGGGGCTGAGAGCACGCAGGGTGCTGCTACTCCAGTGTGCTTCAAATTCAGCTTGGCAAAAAACCTAGAAGAGAAACAGGCCTGGAAGAGAAACATTGCTCTTAGTTGTTACTGTTAAGACCAATTCAAGGGGTTTTCTTGTGGATTGGGACAAGATTCCTCCAGGCTGTGAGGTAACAAACCCTAAAATCTGCTTGATCTTTCAACAAGGAGTGTCTATTTCTTGCCGCGCCATGGCGATTTTTACTGAATTCCCCTGTGCCCATGGCTATGCAGACAGGCACCAGGCTGCTTCGCATATGATGCTGGCCTTTTAGACAGCATGGCTAAGAAGTGAAAAGCTGCTTTCCCCATCACCAATCATCCACCATTAAACATAAGAAAAATCAGGGAAAAAAGAAAGGAAATTGAATGGAAAACACATTCAACAACTGTCTTTTTCAGCAAAACATTCTAAAATCATAAACTACAGACTGGATGATTGTCTTCCTCTCATGCACTGCTTTGCCACAGACACCAGCTAGTAACAGCATATTCAGTTAACATTTCTGATATACTCTATCCAAAAGCTCAGAAGCTTTAGATTATGATGGTTAGACTCAAGCATTACTATCTCTTTCCTACAGTGCAGTATTTTAAAGGCCAAACATCATCATCACTTCACAGGAATTTCCATTCCTTTTCCTTCTTTTAATTACAATACAACTGATCAACTTTTGTTAACAGAAGCCTACTGTTCCAGTCTAAGAGCTTTTATTCCACATCTCGATCTTCAGGTGTGGAACGGGCAAATGAGGATGCTTGCACCCGGATCTAAAGATGCTAGTAAAACCCTTTACGGGGGGGGCGGGGGGGATGTATTTACAAAAGTACGCTTTTTTTCATATAGAAATGGTAATTAAGACTAGAAGGGTTTGTTTGTATAAGATAAGTAGAAAAACCAGAAGCACATTTTCTAGAAGAAAATTAGAGTAAGAAGAAATTAGAATTAGAAAAGCAGACTGGATCTCACACAGCTGAACATTTCTTCAGTGTGAAATGAATCCACAAGTTTTCCCTTCTTTCCGTTCTGCCACTCTTATTTTCACTGGCACTCAAGCTCAAAAGAGCCAAGGACACACTTGAGTTGCCAGAGCTGGTGGCACAAGCCAGCTCTCAAAGTCTGCACGCACACCTCGCATGCTGACTCTGCACAGGTACTTTCCAGCCAATGTCTCGTTTCTGCAGGTAGGAAACCTGTCGCACAGTTTGGAAAGCAGCCAAATGATAGGAATCATGGGGGTCAGGGATATGGGCCTCAGTCTAGACCCAGCCACAGCAGGTCAACTGTTTGAAGTGGGAAATTAAATAAATAAACGAATGATCAATTGCGCTCTTAAGTAACTCACCTCAATGTGGCCATTCAGTGCTGCGTGGTGCAATGCTGTCCGCCCGCCTCGGTCAGAGACGTTGACACTGCTCAGCATGGGGATGATGACTTCCGCACACTTCACTGCCTTGTTTGCAGCCGCCACGTGCAATGGGGTCTGCCAGTTCTTGTCCCGAGCATTGACATCAGCCGAGTGCTTAATCAATACTTGCACTGCTTCCTGCAACAGCAACACAGATATATCCATAACCAAGCAGTTCGAATAAATACATGGCCCACCTTCTTGACAGCTCGATCATATTACCTATGTATATTCCTTATGCATATCAGACATGGCCAGGAGGAGGGAAAGAGAACAACTTTTATCAAAATAACATCCCAGGCTAGGGAAATGGTATTGTTGATTCAACTGCTGGAGTACACGTCACCTTTGCTGTCATTTAGAGCAGTGTCCTCACAATCAAAATTTCCCAATTTGATTTTAGGATGTACAAAGCTGCCTATGCAGAGAGCCCAACCTGTTCAGTTGATTAACCCTCAGTACCCCAGTCATCATAACTGTGCTCTCATTGAGGAAATGAATGTGCTTATTTGAGCTCACAGTTACAGAAATTATTTACAAAATGAAAAGCACATAATTTTGGACAGTAAAATCATGGCAAATTAATGTAAGTTTTATTGATAAACAGGAAAAAGGAGAAAATAAAACAGAATACATGAAAACAAAATTTTAGCTTTGCAAAAACATGAGAATCATGGGCAAGGGTTGATGCTGGTGTCCCCAAGTTAAAATTAGCATTCCTTCCCTCCCTGAGGGCTAAGCATAGGCCAAGGGTCTTCACTGCAACATCCATTTTGTCAACCTAAGACCAAACAACATCTTTTAAAGTTAATTTTGTTGCTTAAAAGTGAATATTTCCCAGTGAGAAAATATACTGTTCTCTCTTGAGAGACTGTCTCGCTGGAGAATTCACAATCAGTTCTTTTCTGCTTCTACTCATGCATCTGCCATTAAGCAAGTGAGATGAAAAAAACAAGTATCTCACAAAATTACATTTTGTTTCTTCTTCCTTTTTTTCCCCACAAACAAACAAAATACAAAGGAGCCACTGGGACACAGTAGCATTCAAGTAGCCTTGTCTGCTAATTACAACTCACAGCTGGTAATTGGGAGGGAGAGCCCTAGTCCCACATAGTACCTTATTCTTTTTGCATAACTGAAGTTTCCTGGTAAGCCCAGCCAAAATTTTATTAATGAATATCAAACACATACAGTGTGTTTAAATAGCACTTTTGTATCTAGAATGGCCCAGAAGAGTGCCTGCAGTCTGTATCAACAGTACATCCATTACTAGGAGTTTTAGTTCTTTGTCCTCAACCGATCTCAGCAATTTCATTTTCTACAGCCATCTCACAAACTGTTCTCTGACAGATTTGTTCAGTTAGTGACATTGCATCTCTTACAGCACCAACAATGATATACCACTGTTGATGTCTCAACAGGATTTTGTTTTTTAAATTACAGGCCTACTGTTTTAAAAGTAATTTAAATGTAATTCACTGGAGACCTACCCAGCTCGGACATGAAGTCAGCAGGAAAATTCATGCACTTTGACTCTTAATGAAGGAAAGAAAAAGTTAAGGGAGAATTTTTAGAAGTAAATAGTAAGGACTGAAAAGTCTAAGCTAAAAATATTTAGACTTTTTAAAAAAAAACATTTACACATTTTTGTTTACATCTGCAAATCTGCTGCTCTATCAGATTTGGGATCAAAATGTTAAAATCCTTACGGAGAAGTTTTAATTTTATTGCTTTTGAGAGCATGAGCTATCCCTTTTTATTAACATAATTTTCTACACATACATGCAGTCCACAGCTATGGTGTAAGCCTCTGTATTCAGTGTCTCTAACTATCCCAAGTTATCATAGTGAAATCTCTTTACTTTTTCGAACTGTATAAGGCTGAAAGCTGACACATCCATTAACAATCCTGCACAGACACATGTGAGGGTCTTGATTTGTAAATAAACATTTAAATCCCTAAAGCCCGCTTGAAAAATCATTAAGACTTAAGCAAAAATGTGTTCATGCTTTTAATCAATCTATAAAAGGGTACAAGGAGACAGCTTCTGAATCCTATGAAAGCTTCATAGTAAAAGATTGATAGTAAAACTTAAAACTTGTAGGTGATCATTCTAAAAGCAACTGTGCTCACAGAAACTTCAAAAACCACACTGAATCCTACTGGTCAACTTCTGGACCATGAATTCACCTCCTACTATCAATGTGAACGATGAATTCACCTACTGCTATCTGCTACCATCACTATCAGTTTTGTCCTATTATACTGAAGCTGCCCATTTGTTAGCTTGTGTAATAAAGTAAAAGCAGCACTGAAAGCACCTCAAAATGCTGAATCTTGTTTCAAAAGTATTACCAAAAGTAGCAATTATCATATAAACAAAAAAGAAAAAAGACCAGGAGAAGAAAGCTATGTGTGTTTATAAAATATAGAGCAGACCATGAAAAGGCATCAAAGGCTGGTGCCTTCCCCTGCTGCCTCACTACTGCACCTGGGTACTCACTTTGAGGTACCAGAACTGCTGGCACAATGCAGACAGTTTCTCATTGTGCAGTTGGCCTTCAGCTAACAAAGAGTTAAAGATGAGACACAAACCCACAGAAAGACATACATTTTCTGTTAGGACTGTCACTGACAATAAAAATCACATACTCTGACGCATCCTAAAAAAGAAACCAAGCACACTGCAATTCCCACATCAGAAAGATTGAGGCTGTTTTTTAAGGTTTAAGCCTGACCTTTGTTTTCCAACATGGCTTTTTGTGTTTTGCCTCATTACAGCATTCATACTCTATCAGATATTCCTTTCAGAGGGTTTCAGCGGATGCCAGCAGCTGGGAAGCTCAGCCAGCAGCCAAACAATGCCCAAGTTCAGAAGCGAGCCCAGGATTCCTGCCTCCAGGCTTGGCAAGCACTGGGACTGTTACGGAGGTGATTCGAGTCCATCAGTCTCTGGAAGACAGCCACCCTCTGTCTCTTTCACAACCCCTCCCCTCATCCCCAGCAGCCAATTCAGTCTGCAGTTGGGCTCACTGTTAACTAAGTATTAGGAGGATAAAAGTATACAGGGAGGTCCAAAATGGAAAGCCAAGAATAATGGTGCAGTTGAAAACACAGTCATGCCTGAGCTGCATTCCTGATAGTTATTGCCGCTCCTTTTTGAGATAGCAATGGGAGAAGTACAACATGATGCCAGAAGATTTCTACTTGTCAGGGAGAAGAAATATGGGCTAACCCTCCATTATGCATGAATCAAATACATTAACAGAAAACCTAATGGATGCCTTGAAATGCAATTAACCAAAACAAACTATGTGGTAATACGTGTACACATCCACTCCCTTCTGGCACATACACAGTGTGCACACATCCATATGGATTTATTTATTCCTCTTTATTTCACCACTTGAAGATGGTGTGGCCACTGTAGACCACTGTGGACTCTATCCCACTTCAGTCCTCATCACCCACTCCAGCTGATGGTTGCTTAATATGACTTGCTACGGTAATGTAAAGCATTCTATAAGGTGAAAGTCAACCACATTAAGGCTCAAACGCAGCTATAACTAACTTGTAAAAGCTGGCTTTCAGTTGCAATGCTAAAGGCCCTGCACACAGAAAATGTTTTCCCTGTTTGCATCACTGTGCTACCTACTATGGCTCTCAATGCTTTGCTTTTTCCCCCAGCAGGTAGTTTACGTGCAAAAGCAGGGTAATCAAATCTTACTCACTTCACTTCTTGAAGCAACTGCTCGGTGGAGAGGAGTCAGCCACATATTGTCCTTGGCATTAACACGAGCGCCTGCAAGTAAACAGCAGAGGTTACATCCATGCCTTGGGTGCGACATTGAAAGCCTTGCCCAATGGTCTCCTAGTAACAAGAGCTGAGCCGTATGTGGTACTCCCAGCGCTCCCCACGACTCTCTTGGCACCCTGTTCACCTTGGAAATGCATTTCCAGATCCCAGATAGACAGGAGCTGAAGCATGATTTGGAAAGAAAGGAACGGGATAGGTCGGACTATTATCAGGAATAGCTTTGTTTACAGGACACAAAAGAAGCAAGATTTGTTGTAGGGGATTACATATGTATGTACATGTATGTCTATGTATATGCAGTTTTTTAGATCAGCTGATACAGTTGGGGAAAAAAAGCAACCCTTTGCTCAGAGCACTGCTGCTGTCTGCAGTCATAATGAAGGGAACAAGCGTGAACAACCATCTCCTTTCCAGCTCCATCAGAGAGACCACTAAAAGATGTAACCACTTCCCTGCTTCGCAAATCTTGCTGGGATCAAGAAAACAGGACTGGGAAATGCTCAGGTTAAGGAGGAAACTGGGCACTTGCTGCGTCAGCTTCTGTGGGCATTATTCAGCAAACATCAAAAGAGGGATGAAGGAGACTATCCGTTTGCCTTCCATGTGGTTCAGTGATAATGTGCGCTCCAACAATGACAGCTGCTCAAGAAGATGGGTTTGGGGTGGCTTGCCGGAATAAAGGATAAAGGAAGACTACTTAACAACTACAGCGGTGCTGGCTGACTGCAGACAAAAAAAAGGATCCTGTATATTTGTGTGATAAAACAGATTTGTTTGAAAGAAATATTAAAGCTGTTCACTGATGTGACACCCCAGAAAGGAAATCTAGTGAAAAGGACTAGAGAAACTAATTTTAAAAAGGGCTTAACCTGAAAATGTTGTACCTCTCAAGCCTGCAAGTAGCAGTACTACTCTGAGAAGACTAGCACATGCAGAAAAATTTTGGAGAAGCACAAGCATCATGCACATAGCCTGGATGAGCCTCTGAACTTCATGAACAAAGGGATTCTTAAGCTTCATTTTGCACCATAACTTAAGTGCATACAAAAGCCTGTAATTAATAAATCACGCTCTGAATCAGAAGTACTTTCCGAAAGCCATTTCTCAGGAATATTAAGGTGCTTGCCTCTGAATCACAGTGGTTACTGGGAATCGTGCTAGATAATCAGAGAAGACACAAGTTCTTTCATATTTCCACAAGTTGAAATGTAATTTTTTGGCTGCAAGAAAAAGAAAGCCACTTTCATAACTATTGCAACAATTAGAGGAAATACTCCGAACTCACCTCAGAACCTGGTACCTGGTGGTACAACCTGCCCTCTGGAAAAACACCCTTTAGAAAAGACAACAGTTTCAGAGATTTTTCTAATGAATCTGTCTAAGCAGGGAAGCTGTTAGCTTCTTTTGTCTTCAGGAGAAGGCCATTATGGTTGATACACATTAGCATCCTGCCCTTTGCCTACACTACCCGAGGCCCTAGAGACAGGCAACAACCTCCTCCACCATCAGGAAGCTGACAGACAGGACTCCAAGGCATCTTATCTTATACTGATTTGGCCTGGTAGAGGTCTTCGGGATGCAAATTGCCTAGATGAATTCCTAACGATTGCCACCAAATACCTCTTTTCGGGTTTAGAAATTTATTCTGTACTTGCCTTGGTTTTTTGCCTTATGTTCTCAACTAAGGTTTCTTTTGGTTTATTTCTACCCATTCACTAACTCCTACAAGCAGATGGTTGCAAATCAGAAAGGCTTATTTATGTGTGGAGTAGCAAAGCACGACAAACATACCATTCCTCAGTATTCAACAACTCCAGTAGCACTGGTGAATATGAAGATGATTAGAAAACCTAGGGAAGTGTGTCTGTCAGTAGCTATTCATGCCTTTCACTGACCCACATACCCTTTGAGAAACTGAAATAGTTGCCAAGAAAACAGCTACAGAAAATAACAAAAGCAAAACAATACCAGTAGAAATAAAATAATACACAGCATGCTATCAGCCTTTTCTTCCACAGCTGTTTTCCACATCCCTTTACCTCTTTGTGCTTTGGGGTTCTTTATGTGACAAAGTGAAATTGCTCTTACACTGCATCGACTGAGTATGTTTGTGATTTCTGTTTTTAAAAAGCTGCACAATTCAGCTGTTGTCTGTTGCAGGAGCCGCTGTTGTCCATTTACTGAGGTGCGCGTTTTCTGAAGAGATGTTGCAAAATGTTTCCCTCTGTACTGCCCATTTCCTTCACCAAAATTCAGCTTTTAGGTTCCCAGCAGTTCCTTGCAGGCAACAGTTAATGACAATGGGCTGTGTCCAAAAATCAGAAGCTTAAATTTTCAAGTCCATCCCACAACACTTCCTCAAAGTCACCCAGAAATTCAGTGTCCCTCTCTTCACTCTGGACCAAGTACCTTAACCATGTTTCAATGCACTTTCTGCAATACTCTGTGAATTAATCTGTGTATTTATAAGGACAAAGAGGGCTGATAACACACTCAATTGGTGTATATGGTGTCCTTCATAGTACAATCTTCCCTGAAAAGATAAGCTGCTTTAAAGATTTCCCTTAACATCCTTTCAGGTAGCCACAGCACCCACTCACACCCCCCCACCCCCACCCACCCCCATAAAATATCCACTAAAAAAAAAACCCTCCAGAGAAAAGCCTTTTCTTAGCTCTATCCTCCGCACTCTGCCCTCAGGAGAGCTCATACTCGTGGGCCTGAAGGAAAGGTTTGGCTGTTGGATTTGCTCTGTGAGGCTGAAGTAGACAACATAACATGTAATATTAGAGATAAAATCAACACAGGAAACTGTCTGCAATCCACTCTTCTTTAAGATGGCTGTTTTGTAATCTTTGCAATCTTTCACTCTCAAATTTTTCTGCCAAAAGCGGAAATAAATCTGAAATTGCCTCTGTTCTTTTGAGATCCGAAATAAACAACCCAACGCTGGCTTTCAGGAATAAAGTTAACATATCTTTATCCTAACCAAAGCACAATTTTCCATCCAGCGCATCTGCCAAATCCACAGGTCTCCAATAAATCTAGATTCTGCAGTCTAAATCTCTGAAATTAGGGATGGTCAACAGAGGAAGGAAACTCTACTCTTTAACCTATTAATGACATTATTAATATGCACCTTTCCAACTCCTGCTATGAGACACAGCAATAGACATACAACAATATAAGGGATGCCCCCCCACCTCACCTCCCAAACACAGACACACAATACAAAGCAAAGATCAGCATGAATAAAATATAACAACAGATAGATGGAACTGGGACCCACAACACGAGAGCAACACAACACCACCATGCTAGATGTGAACACCAGAACCGAACACCTGCATGGCAGCAACAGGAGGTTAGGCAGGATCTCCTCAGAAGCAAGTCCGAGTCACTTGCTAGGGAGGGAAATGGCCTGGGGATCCCACCAGGTGAGAGCACACAGGTCCTGGGTCACTCAAGGAGAGAGGAGATAGTCCTGGGACATCCTCCAAACTTTTACCCAAACGGGATACTCCTAATCTTGAAGGACAGGAGTCTCAAAGCCATGGGAAAGGCAGAGAGGAGGCTGCCTCTCCAACTCACCTATTCTTTAGCCTGCCATAAAAGAGAAAGCCCTGAATGAGCATTCAGGTCACACAGCGCCTTCCCCTGCTGCCTACACAACAGGGACAGCCCAGAACCTGCTATGCATGTGCCAGTCTCACTTCCATATCTGTGTGGCAGAACTTGCCAGGAACCCTTCCAAAGCATGCTGGGGTTTGTCCTTTTCCTCAGCTATTGTGCAATTTATGAAGGATGGATGTCAATATTGCGTGCGCACCCTCAGTGCATAAATTTCTTGCCAAGAAGCTCAGAGCTTTCTGAAAGAGTAAGGCATGGTAATATTGCCAAGATCACAAGCTCGTTGGTGAGGAACAAGGGGCAAGGGACTAAGCTCAAACATCATGCCCTCGGGCACCAGCTCAAAAGCCCTGGAGGGGGAAAGACACTGCCACAAATGAGAATGGAGCTTGTATCTGCCCAGACAGTTCTCCTTGCACATCCATGACTGTGTCATCATACAGAGCTTCATTTATGTGAGATGGTTACCCTGGTCCTTCTCCTTCTTGACACAAAGGAGGTGAAGGAGACGTGCTCAAAGCTCCCTGCTTTTGTGTAGCCTTGAAAAACAAAACCACACAGCACATTTCCCCAGTTTGAACCATATGCTTATGGATCAGACCTTTAAACTGGTGTAAATCTACCTAGTTCTGACACTTAATGGGCCAAGGTGATTCATACCAGTTGAGGGATCTGACACTTTCTCTCCTATATCAATTCCAAACAGACTCCAATTCAGTGGCTACCTAGAAAGCCATTTCTGGTCTGTCTCCAACCACCTGGGCAGAAGTTTTATTCATTAGACACTACATTTATTTGTGCTGCCACCAGTTCATGGGCCACAAATCTCTGAATGTGCATATTTCATTTAATTTCTCTCCTGAGCCCTGTACAAAATGCAATGGGTTGCTACTCCTAGATTCTACTCAAGCTGAGAACATTATTGTTTGACACCAACAGCAAGCATTTTTGTGCTTTCTCTCTGGGAAAACACCTCTGATTTTAAGTCAGACAACAAAGTCTTTCTGCTTTATGTAACCAAATTTTATGATCAGGTTAATCTTTTATGATACACTTTTACTAACGCAGTTTACTGAATGAAAAGGTGAAGCAAAGGGAAGATGCTGCTGTTGTCTTTAGAGTCTAGTTCACGGAGAGATCACAATAACAAAGAAGTGTATATAATAACTCATAAATCTGCCCCTCCAAACCTCATAAGCCTCCAAACCTGCTCTTGGATGCAAGTACTGATACTCATCATGAGTCATGATACTTCAGAGATTAAAGGACAATGAACACGTAGAATATGCAATAAAAGATTAATTTTGATTCATGCTGAGCTAGTTGGGAAAGATCCACATAGTTCCTACAGACTGAACCCCAGTGCAGTCCCACTGACACAAAGTCCAATTTTTAAAAGCCCACATTTTAAGTTTTTCATGCTCACTTGGATATATAAAAAAACCCCAAGATATATCACCTGCATTTTATGCTGTTGACCAGACAAACCCTATAGCCCATGGATGACATTTTGGCAGTGAGGTGCTGGAACTAAGTGTCCCAGAAGAACACTAGAAAGTCTCCTTCCCTCATTAAGAGCATGACAGAAAACAAGAGTATTCACCAGGACATTTTTTGATGCTACTGGGATTCAGGGGAGAAATGGGCAGAATGGCTTCACCTTTCTCTTTATGTGGGTATTGCCTGTGCTGTTACTTGCAAAACTTGGAAAGACATTGCTCCTGCAATCTTCTCAGACCACAATGAAATGACAGTATGTGACAAACAACACACACTGCAAGAACACATGCACAGATTAAGTTTATTAACTCTTACCTCCCAGTGAAGAAACTAATGTTTGCATTTAGCATATTGAAAACCCACCCAAGCATAACCTGTCAGCCAAGGAATGTTCATTTGAGTCATTCTGCTGGCATCAGGGTTAGAGCAGAAAGATACGATGTATGTCCAACTACTTACCCTCATTAAGCAATTAAGACAACTCAAAATGCCCCCCAAAATGTACAGAGGAAATTCACAGCTACAGCAAACTGAATTCCCATTTTCTGCCTTCTCCAGGTGTGGTTAGGCTGGTAATCCAAATAAATATGTTTGTGTGGTCTGCATGTGCCCATTAGCATCCTGATCTAACTTTGAAATTGGCTGGTACTCTAAGCAGGGGGCTGGATCAGGTAACCTCTAGAAATCCCTTCCAGCCTGAATTATTCTAGGATTCAAGGTTGGAAATTAGAAGGTGCCTTGCAATCACAGGACTGATAGTTCTGAAATAACTTTCTAAAAAAAATATGCAAGTCCTTTGAAGAAGCAGTCTAATAATTTGTGAAACCAATCATATAGCAAGGTTGCTTGCAGGGGGCAGACGTTTGTACCATAAGGTTCCTTTCAATCCCACATTCTTAAACCCCCATATGCTTTACCCTTACAGTTCTCCAGTTTAGAAAAACACTGCCTTTGAAATCTGCAAGCACATCCAGGAGTTTGCCATGAATTATGTGTACTTCTTGAGATATGTCTGCTTTATGCTTTGCTCTGACATATTTTGATCATGTTTTTTGTCACTACAACAGTTTGGAAATATTTTTAAATTTTTTTTGTTTAGATACATCTTACTGCACAGCTTCTATTCCCCAAATCAACTTCCCAACTCTTAGTATCATGTTTCTAATGTAAATACCACTTACAATTCATTTAAACTCATTCATAACTTTCTTGCTATTATTCCATAATAATTTTTGCTTAACAGGAATTCTTGGCTTGTACTCCAGGACGTGAGCCTGCATTCCAAATATGTACTTCAGTAAGTTTCTGAATCCACAAATACTGTCAGCTTGAATGCTTTAGAAGTTTTCAAAAACTAGTTGTTTTGTTTATTAATTCAGCTCAGTTACAGTGCATGTTTTATAACTGTATCACCAAATTTAAATATATTTTCTAAGCTTGCGACAACTGCAACCAGCTCTGTGAAACTCAGAAATAGGCACTGCTCAAAGCTTACTCATATATGCTTTGCTGGGTATTCCTTGTAGCTTTAAAATTAGCTAAATTACCAGTTAATAACAGTGAGGGACACTACCTTACCTGACAAAATGAGAAGCTCGATGATGTCTGCATCCCCCAGGAATGATGCAACGTGAAGAGGAGTTCGTTTCTCAGCATCCTACAAAACCGTAGATTTAAACTTGGTCAATAACTGTAAGCATTAGTGTTAAAGAGTAATGGATTTGTATATAGTGCTTATTTTTCTGTGTGTATTTCTGTTTATAATTAGAAATGCAATCTCAACCAGTGAAAGGTCTGAACAACACACTTCCTCCCAATAATCCTCAACTTTTTTATCACTTTGTTCCACCAGACCTTGCAGAGACACTGTCTTTACTCTGATATCCTGTTTAGAGGTAGATCAAATCAAATCCAATCTAAAATGAGGAAAGACGTCTTCCTTGGGTCTCTTTTGGAAACATTTTCCACTCTAAGTGTTGCAGCGACGTAATTCAGATGCTTCTGGACATCAGACTTTGTAGTGCAGTTTGCATCAACAATATAACACCAGACTCTTCAGAAGGGTGTCTCTGGAGAATGGTTTGGAACCACACACAAGGACAAGATGCAGTCCTCTTAGTCTACAAAGGTTCTCCTACACCATTTAGTCTGCCTGTCTACAGCAGCCCAAAATGGGCTTGTACACCTTGATCAACCTTTAAACACCAGTAAAGAAAATATTACCCATCAGGTCTGTGTCTTTAAACTTAGAAGAATTGCTAATAATCATATACACAACTTCCGGAACACATCTACTTTTATTTGATTTCTGTAATTTTCAGCCTTAGGGAGTCACACTTTAGGACTTTCTTTTCTAACTTCAAGGGGTGTAACATACAGTGTTTAAAAAAACCCCTTTCTTTTATTGCTTTATTCAGATGATTCCAGAACATAAGCCTTTAAAAGAAGCTGCTAAACATTGTAATATGGGCGACAAAAATCACAAGAAATGTTAATACTGCTTATCCTGCTATTCAACCCCTGTTTCCAGTCCTAAATGTATCTCATTTTGGTTTCTTAACTGCTAATACAAAAGAAGTTTTAAAAGACTTATCAATCAAACTTATCAAATTACAACCTACCAGCATTAAATACTGTAAGCTGGTAACAGATTCAACACTTCCTGCAAATGATACGAACACAGAAATCCTACCAGTATTAACACTCTCTCCCTGAAACATATCTCTGAGCCTGTCAAATAAAATGTCACTTTTAACACGCCCAAGAGATCATCAACCGCAAGCTATTTTGGACTGTCTTCAAAGTATGCTATAAATGTGGACAAATCAGTGCAGCAAAACCATTTGTCATGTGAATGCTGAAAATTGTTTTTCAGCACTGCAAGGCACAGAGCCACTGGTCACCAGAATAAGTTATGTTTAATCTTTATATTTGTATGTTTTTTCAAACATATATTATGGATGTAGTCCTCAAACTCTGCTGCAGTGGACTTAGATCTTACATATTGGGCATGCATATAAAACACTCAAAAGACAGATTATGTGACACCCTGGTTGTCACAGGTCAGCAGGAAAGATATCGTACAGAACTTCACCTCCTCACATGGTAGGCAAATTAAAACAATATTAAGCAGTGTCCATCCAGCAGTGTCTGCTCAGGAACTGAAATCACAAGCTGGATTCTCTCATACGCTCAGTTCCTAAGATACAACCCACCATGGACTAGCTTTTACAGGCTACATGAATGCATACGAGACCTTTCGTAAGTATTGCTTCATATTACCTATCCCAAGGCTATCCATGGCAAACAATACGCTAAGACTGATCAAACATTTGTACAAAAATAGAATCATTTTTATTTATTTTTTTAGCATGTTCATTTTAATGCATGAATCTCTCTTTAGCACAATGTAGTATTTGTAATAGCTATTGTACCTGTCAGGGATAAATTTTGCGGCAGTTTCTTGTAACACAGCCAAGTTTGGCAACAGAACAGAGTACTTTGAAGTTGAATGCTAACGATACAAGACCAAGCAATATTCTATATCAAGGAACCAAGGCTATTCAGTGCTTTATTGATTATAAGCAATATTTTATACCAAACTAATAGAGGGAGAAAAGGACATGAAATAGAAAAGTAGAATTTTCATCCTTCTGTAACAGGAATAACTCTCTAAGTATTCTCAGCTTTCACTTTTTAAAATCAATGCAAAATCCTGTCAAATTAAATGAGAATCAAGTCTTCAGAGAAAGATGGGTTTAGTCACGCAACTAAATTTAAGCTTAATTTTTCCAAAAGGAAAAAACCCTAAAATTTCTCCGTTTATCACAAGCAGGCACAAATCAGAGTTCACCCTCACATGAATTAGCAGATGACAAAACCCAATGTGTGGTATAGAAAATTAAAAACACACAAAAATGTCCTACAGGCAACGTTTTCGGGAGTTTGGCGGGGAGAAGTCCGCACACACCGCCTGCAGCTGAGCATGCAGTTGAGCAACTCAATGGAGGAACATCCTCAAGTTCCTGTTCATGCTCTGTGCGAGGCTGACACAGAAACAGAGGAACAGGGGCATCTGCCTATCTGTCCAGCCACGCTCCTCACGTCCTCCTCAAAGCTGTGTACCCCTTCAGCAAGACTTAAACAGCTCACTGGCTTTGCATCTGGCCCATGCACTAACATCTATTCAGCTACAGATGTCCCTGTGGCATGGTGGTATTAAAAGGAGTACAAATAAGTAAATCAATAATGATCTAAAGACTGAAGGCCACAAACAGAGAGAGAGGAATAAAAAGAAAATTCATCACTTCAGGAAAAGGTCTGGCAGTATCCCAAACCTGAACATACGTTATCAAGGCAAGGAAAGGAGGTGAGGGGAAGAAAACAATAACAGGATTACAAATAGCATTAAGACAAATAATCAGACCTGCTTCAAGTGCAATTCTCAAAGGAACAAAAGGTCTGTAAGAGACAGTAGATAAGCTAAACAATGGCTAGAAAATCATGCTGAGACAAGATAAACACTCCCCAAAACTGTACTAGTGACTTATATTAGTTCACAGAAAAGATGATGCTGCACGTTAACATTATCGGCATACATTATTCTATTTTTTTAAGTACAAATAAAGGAAATTAAGAATTTAACAAAGAGGCAATCGAGAACAGAAGGCCTCAAGAAGAAAAACACTCAACACATGCTTAAACTGTTCAAGTGATCACAGTGACACTGATAAGGCCCTTCACAGGCTTAAACTTAGGCTAGTCTGTAAGTACTTTATTGGATCAGAGCCCCAGAGTACATAAAGATTAGCAGAACGGTGGCTTGGATGAATCATATCAGCATATGTAAAATATTCAGGCACATTAAGAAAAAGGCCAACAGCCTCTCCTCAACACAGCCCACATCTCAAAGGAGATAACAGATTTGAGTTTTTTTATCAGCTGCAGCTGTTCAGATCAGAAGATGTTTGGGACAGAGTTATCTACTATTAAAATATAAGTGCAACTGCTACAGGAAATAAATGCCTGTATCCTCTTTATGTCACCAAACTGCCTGAGCAGCCAACAGGAATAGCTCAGCACAGAAGGAAGCACCACAGAAACTGAGTTAATGAAGTTTAATTAGTAAGAAGCATTTGGATTCCCACCGCCTTCAAGCAGCCAGCAATCTGCCTGGGTGGCAGAATAAACTAAACTATATTAGTGGCACATGAATGGCTACAACTTCCATTGATACAAGGCTAACCAAAACAATAACAGAAACAAACCTCCTGCTCATCAACTCCATTTACTGTTGTTACATCTGAGCACACTTTATTTAAATAGCACAAAGCAGCTGGTACCCTTAAAAAACCCAAACATTCAGATAAAACTTGACTTCAGGAAAATTAAATATTGGGAACTGCTTAGGAACTACTGAAGAGGCTAAAAGCAAATGAGCAGCTACTTCTTGGGCTATTTACAACCATTCAGAGCCAAAAGCTGATGCTGTACAAAGAAAATCTTTGCCGTTTCAGGATTTCCTCCCTCTCACAGATTCTTTTAATAAAGCCTGTAATTCACAAAGCAAATCGAAATGCTTAACTGTGAGCACCAGCTGGGAGGTGAAAGTCAAGCTGTGTAACTTATGCCTGGTGCTTTCTTCTGCTATTGCCAAGCACAAAAATTACCGTCTGAAAATGCAGATCCTGGTTCCAGCACCTCTGATCCCTGCAGTCTTCAGTTTAGCCTCAGAAACAAAGATATTTCTGGATGGAGTCTTTAATTGCCAAGTGCCCATGAGGTGGAGGAAGAGGCAAATACTTTGATCTTCTAGAGACAAGAAAAATTATCTTCCCCCCCCCGTCTAACAATCTCCTTCCACGAGGCAGACAGCAGCTTTCCTGCTAGAAAAAGGTAACTTTGGAAATCAATTACTAATCCTAGATTGAGACTGTAGAAACTGTTATCCTAATTAAAGGAAATATTTTAATGTTTATAGCAGTGAGTTTCCAATGTAAGGCTTAGAAGCTAAATAACTCCTCCATTTTTACAAATGCAATATTGATTTGGGGGGCGTTGATGGCGTGGGAGCATACATCACTTGTGAGTTGATGGGAAAAGCAGATTTAAAAAATTCAGGTATTTCAGGCTGAAGTTGCTGCCTTTGGAGAAAATAAAGCTGCTACAGCCAAACTCTGCCATGAGCTTTTAATGGCCTGTACATCCTTAACTGACTCAAACATTTTGAGGGCAACAATAACATGAATCACCAGCACAGATATATATAGAGAGATATATATAGATATATATATAACTTAGTACCCACTAGTATACTAGCACGCTGTACAAAGCAACTCCCAATATTTCAGACTCCCAGTAAAATCCAGCAGAATCTTCTTCACAGTTCAAACATCTTCTTTATAAAATATAAAAAATTCTATTTATTTTCAAAAAGAAAAAACATTTATTCTAAACAGAAGTCATGCTGGTTGCCTTGCATCACAAACATCAACGCAATTTTAGTATTCGGTCTCCTTACATTCCTGAGAATTGTTCATGATTTCCTTCTGCAGAAAAAAAAAATATTCTCCAGCACTTCCCACTTAAATTAATAGCATATCAAACAGCGCTACTAGAGGCTAAATACCCACTCACACCTATTACCTAGCACCAAACTGTCCTACTGTGTCAAAGCAGAAGCTTTCCAAGGTTCCTGAATAAATCCTCCAAAAGACTTTCCAGCACAGCAGAACTACATGTAGAAGAGGAGCGTTTACTTCCAGGATAGCTTTATTCTCCTGCGAGGCTCCATAGTGCCAAAAAGAAAATCATCATTCATTCCTTGGATGAGAGCACAGACGAGGGTCTGGTTCCCAAGATGACTGAAATACCACATTATGGTCTCTCTCAGTCCCAAGTCAAACATGTCACTCCAAACTGAACGGCAAGCTGTTTTTCACATTAGCTGCCCCAAGTGTGCAAAGCCTTTCAGACTCACAATCCTAAAAGTGTGCGCATTTGTAACCTCAAGCACCCATACCACCTCAAAAAGCATGCTTGGCACTATTACAGAAATATAGATAACTTTTGTGTGTGTATGAAGACCTGGATAAAGCCTGAATCCTCCTAACAAAGGCAGTCTTGCAAAGCTATGCCTTACAAAGTAGGATAACGAGAAAAAGAAGTAATAAACAGCATACATCCATGTCTCTCCATAAGAACTTTCTTCTTGCCTTCCTTATCTCGTAATAAACCACCCTCTGAAAACATGCTGCTGCCTGTAAGGCCTTGCAATCTCTGCTGGTGCCACTGCCCCTTCCCGTGCAGAACTGCTCCGCAGCGATGAACAGGCAGGCGATGCCCCGGGTTACGACACCTCGACATGGCTCCCACCCACCCCCTGCCTGGCCCATCAGGAGTTACTGCAGCTCACCTAGATCGGCTGGCTCTGCAGCTCTGCTTTAATGAAAACAAGCCAAATTCAGCTAAATCATTACCTCCTCCTAACCCACCTCGTTTTGGTGGAAGTGGGTGGGGGAGCATTTGCACAAGCAGCTCTTGACACCAATGAGCACTGAGAAGGAGCAGCTTCTCCAGTTGGCAGAGGGTTGAGCAAAGAGGCTACGTGGATCAAGCGGAGAAGGCGGTATCAGCACTTATGCCCCAACATCAGAAATAGGAGCAACTAAGTTATGGGAAAGCAGATGTTGCCTTCAACAGTCTCACTGCTGGGGTGAGGGGGCATATTATTTATTTTCCCAAAAATATGAATGAAATAGAAGACATTCTGGGGAATTAACTTTTGTTTTTTAGGGGTTTATCCAAGAGAAAAAGCCAGATTGGGGAATAAAGAGGAAAAACAGAGGGAAAGAAATGTCCGATTTGGCTTGCAAGCATCTCGTCAGTTATAGGGAAGAATACTGGAAGGTTATTTTGCCCTTTTTGTTTGACTTTGAATATTTTTAAGAGAAACTAAACTAGAAGACTGAGATGAAAATGGAAATTTTACAGGAAGGTTTTTGGCTTAGTAGAAAATCATGACATTGCATGCAAGAACTGGACTTTGCATATGTAGGGTATTACACAGCTGCATATTATTATGAATCCCAGCTAACCACCGGATCCAGAATAATCTCTAGATGAGCTCAAGGCTCTGCACCATTCCATCATGCTCTTCTCAAAATAAAAAATCACCCCAAATTATCCCCTATGTGCTATGTGCTACACACACATAGCACGATCACCCTGATATTTCTAAATGTACCAAGAAGCAAGTGTAGAGGATGTCTGCCTGAAACTAATGTGGTGGTCTGGATGGTCCAAACCCATATCCCAAACACCCTGGGAAAACAGGCTGCTGAACATTGCCCACAGGCAGACCACATTTCCCATGGAAATAGCACATGTTCAGTACTCAGTGGTAGGGAATCGCACACCACCAGCCAAGCATAATGCTGTCCATGCCCTCAGGGTGCAGAAGTAGCACCATGTTCCCCCAAAGCATAGCTAGGGACTGGAGAGGTCAAAGCGGCCATTACAGTGGCAGAATGAACTAAAACCACCCTTCTAAGCCAAACAGTTACAGCTTTCACTTTGCTGCAAAATAGAAGTCACAATTATAGCAGCATCCAGAATGTAGCCATTTCCATCAACATACACTTCCCAGCTTGGAAAGATATTAACTATTTTATCAGACAAAAAAAAAAAGTAACCTACTAAACTTCTGATTTGCTCTAAACTCTTTCCTCTGAGATTAATTTTCTCTTAGGAAGTATGCATATATATCACTAATTTTGCATAGTGCTTTTTTCTTCTTTCTCAATACCTCTCTTGCTGCAGATTCCAAAAAACAATTTTTAAAACTTCAGAAATCCCCAAAGCTTGCTGCAAAAACAGAGTTTTATTTTGTTTCACTGTCCTACCTATATTTGAACTCGTCCAATATTAACACAGCTAACCAAAATGATCAACAAAGGACAAACCACTGCCAAACAGTGTCAGAGTTTCCTCTCACGTGAGCAACCAAGCACTAGAGAAACACTAACATGGAAGTAATTAAAAACATCCTTAAAATAGAAACATAAGCACGCAGCGCAAATTGCCAGGTCACAGCACAAGGGGGGAAAATGCTATCTTTTGATCTTTCTTATTTTAAGCATTTGACACTTATCTGCAATGACCATCCAGAACACAATCTTCAGAATTCATGTTGGCCAGTATTCTTCTAATTACTCCAAAGAATAGCTTTGGGTTTTGCTCCTGACAAAACAGCTGTTCAGGCAAAGCATTCTTGGATGGACTTTTAGCATCTTAAACAGGATTCTGGGCAAGACTATTCAAGTTCAATGACTTTTTCTAGTAAGTACTATGGTACTCATCTACAAAATACATATTCTTCATTTAATATCGCACCTGACAGTTGAGAGCATCTCCCTAGCAACCATGACTACCACACTTGCAGCCAAAGGGTACAACAACATTTGAGAAGCCTACAATAATGTTGTACATGAAATGCTATTTTGAAAAACCAACATGAAATACAGAGGAAATTTTAGGACTACCTTGTTAATCTAGGTTGGGGTTTTGGTTTTGGTTGGTCGCTTTTGGGTTTTTTCCTTTATTTAAGGGAAAGCAGGGAAAACAAATAAGGAGGAAACTCAAGGGAGATGATGCTTTAAGAAAGCACTTTTAGGAACTTTTTTCAAGAAAACAACCAGGTACTGATAATCATAGGGAAAGCCTAACTTCAAGGTCGTCTTTGATCAGATTCCCCATTTAAAACAGCAGCAAGTCTTCGCTTCCACTTGACAGCAAATGGAGTGGAGCCCCAGTTAACCAGACCTGTAGGATCACTTCTCCAATTCCCTTCTGCAGCTCTGAACCAGATGGTTGGATGACACTGCCTGCAAAAGCTGCAGTGCCAGGACTACACCAGACAAACTGCTGGAGTTAGCTATGAATAAACTGATGACTTTATGTCAGAAAAAGACAAGAAAAGGAAGGTTGATTCAAAAGTCCAGGAAACACTGGGAAATCACCATTCTGCTTCTGCTTTATATTCTCACCGCTTCCAGAGGCTGCAGATTGTAGTCAGGACTGGCAGCGTTCATTTCTAGCTGTACGGATTTAAGTTAAAATCGAAGGGGGGGGGAACAACCTAACTTCTGCAAAAAGGCCAAGTTCAAATGGAGATTTTTTTTTTTTCCACTGCCAAAACACTAAACTACTGCTTGTTTACATTGCTTACCGTTGTTCTGGCTGGAATAAGCCAATCTGCAGAACAGTAATTCCTTTGTGGGCAAATTGTGGCCAAGATACTGCTTCTTTACTCTCACTGCTGAGACCTATAGCGAAGTTTTATTTCAAGTACAGTCAAATGCTGAATAACAGCTCCTGATCTGCAAAGACTCTTCATAAAAGGAAACTCTACAGAGAGTAAAAATATGCAGCTTTCAGCTGTTTTCATTCATTTTCTCAGTAAGAGAGGAAACAATGTCCCTGACTGACCTGCACATTTGGAATAATTACCATACACTTAGAAAATTTAAAGTCACCTGCTGGAGATAATTGTATTTCAGACTACTAATTAGGATTCCACTGAAGCCCCAAATCTCTAACTTCCAAATAATTTCCATTCTGTTATGTGTTAATTACTAAGGACATGATTAATACTGTCAATGCAACAGTTCATAAGCACAGTGCTTAAGTATCACAGGTACATAACATGCCAAGTCACATACCAAGGCGTTGACATCCTCAGTTTTGTAGATCAACATCCGTATCTCTTCTGGATCGCCACTGAAAATCGCTTGGACCAGTGGTGGCTGAAAAAATAAAACAGAAGCAGCAGCATTACAGGTTTGTTTGTTTTCTGTTTAAAAGGAGAGCTTATTATTCCTGCTAACATTTGCTAATGCTGCCCACAGACGTTGTATGACCCCAGTAACAAATCACCAAGCGTATCTCATCAGTAAGAACTATCAGTTTGCTTGAGGATAAACTGAAATCATGAGTATGTTTGTACATATAATGACCATGTGTGTGCACAAACAGGGACCCCCATTAGAATGGCAACTTTTGTCAACAGCAGGCAATTAGCCCAGATGTTCTCCTTGGCATGTAAGGGGAAAACTAATTACATCAGATACTGCTGCGTGCTTGCTGTTGGCACAGAATAATGGTCATGCAATACACATTTAGAAACAGAACATTATGCAGATAATGAATTTCTGGGCAATTACTAAACATCTTGTATCTTTTTACTGAATAAATATGCAATGAGCACAGTTAATTTTAACCACCCAAGAAGCTAAATAATTATCTTATTGTTTCACGTCTGTTATTATGCTATTATGAATTGGAATGCATAAGTAAATAATCAGGCATACGGGAGAAACAATATGCCATGCTCATTCCTCTGGCAATGCTGGCGTCACTGTCCGTCAGTGGGAGGGAGCGCTGCATATGCTCAACTGCTCCGTTACATGTCCAGAGCTAGCAATTTCAGTCCTTCTGCTCTGGACAGCCAGCAGCAAATATCTGAGTTATTAACCAAGCTGGCAGAACACAATCTGCTGAATTAAAAGAACAAAAATGTTGCTGCTGGAGACTCAGAAAAAGGAGGGGGCAAGTTACAAAGACACCTTATCCCCTGAAACACATGGTTGAAACAGGCAGTGGCCCCACTTCCACTGTCAGCCCTTCTGAAGGCAGTGTGTGCCCCCCTGAGCTTGCTGAGCTGGTCCTACCAGCAAAAGAAGAGCTTGTGGTGCCATGCAATCACCAGAAGCTAAAATAACCCTGGAAAAGGGAAGCATGCATGACCACTTAAGCACATAAAACCGCAACAGTTCTTAAGACTCTGCAGAACTTAACTACCTTGTAAACAGGTTATCTCAAAATTCACAAACAAGCTGGAATAACAGAGGAAAATACCAATTTTTCCCAATCTTTTCACTGCAAAATTCATCATATTCAAATGTGGAAAGTACACTTAGAAGTTGATGGTGTCTGTTTTAAGATATATTAATCCCTTATGTCCTTAAGAAAGATTCACTCTGGAATTTCATTCTTGCCACTCCTCTGATGGAAAAAGGACTAAAGTAGCATCTTTTATCACAACTCTCTGCAGTCTTACATATTGTAGCAGATGTTTGAAAAAGGAAAAAAAAAAAGATTGCATGTCACTTGAACCATTTAGCACACTTCCTTCCCAGCCCATGTGAGAAGGGTCACAGACTATTCCCCACCAGAGGATGCAAACACCAGAGCTCAGAGTCTGTTCCCTTCTCATTCATCCGCCAAACTCAAACAAATCAATATTTAGCTAAGAGTGAGATGGTCTTATTTCTGCATTTTTCTCTACCAAAAGAAATCATTTAAAGCAATTCTCTAATCTTATGTCCGCTAGCACGCTGATAAAAACTAGTATTTCCTAGACTTAGCACAAACCTAACACTAGATATGAAGAACCAGTGAATGTTTATTAAATTACAATGCTCACAACAAATTATTTCCATTTCATGTACACTTATCATAATATTTAAATAACAAAATAAACAGGAAAGCAGAAGAACTCCTCGATTTCAAGCTAAATGGCAACACAACCCATGGCCAAGCAACAAATAACCTCCACGGTTCGGATGAGTCTCTGAACTCAGGCACACTTGGCACCCAAAGAAAGGTATCAGCCAGGCTCTGACGACACATAAGCTGTGCATCGTTACATTAAAAAAAGAGGAAAGTCTACAATAAGACAGTTTGAGCCTTCTTTCCTCTGTCAGAAATCTGAATCAGACACCTGGTTTTACAGGAAATGCTTGACCTTTTTAATTAGCATCAGCTACTTAGCACAGAAAGCAGATTAACACTGTGTTCTTTTGACCTGTAACATATATAAGATCCTCACCTCAATTTTGTCCACCATACCACCATCATATCTACATGCAGTTCCTTATATTGAAACCCAGTATTTACTGTGCCTCTGAAGGAGGTTATAAGTCTCATACTGCTCATATACACAACCTTTGCTGACAGGAGATAGCTGCCATACACCCATTTGCAAAGGCCTTAGTCCTTCAGTCCTTTCTTCCATGAGATTTACTTTTTCTAAATTAATTACAATAGAATCTCTCATTGCTAATTGTAACAGCAAGAAACAGAGATAACAGAGAACTATCAGAGCCCATGAATTGGAAAGAACAGATAAAACCAGGACAGGCTGATAACCATCCTGAGTCACTGCTGTGCAGCTTTCTCCAACTGGCCATTTTTCTAATTTACCATTTCATAATTTTACTTCATTTTGAAAGGTATTAGTTTTGAAGTGAGAAACACATTATTGCTAAGGAATTTTTATTGCATATGCACAGTCATGTATAATGACCTGTTTAGGAAAAATATGTCAGAAGTATGTTGCAGCATTGTTGCTGCAATTTGAGGTCAGAGCTAAGACTGTGCATCCGCATCCCTCAGCACGAAAGAAAAAGTATTGCTCCATTCAGCAGCTGACAGTGATGAAATGGGGCTTGTGCAGTTACGAGTGTTGATGATGGATGTCCAATGACCTGAACAGATTACTTTCTTGATCTTTAGTGATAACCATGTTCATGCATGAATGACTTCAACATTAAATAACTTCTCCTTCTTCTTTTTTTTTTTTAATCCCTGAAGGGCAGATAATGACACTTCCTAATTATCAAAGAAGGATACGGTATATTTTTGGAAATAATTTCTAAAACCTGTGACAATATCATTAACCAGTTATTTCATTAACATAAATATTTTGCTTTAAAATTCTTCAAATTCAGAAGTTGTTAAACACTCAGAATGAAGAAAAAAACAAAAAGAAAGCACAGAGCAGGTTATGTATAACTATTATTAGACCTAAGCAAGGGTGCGGGTTTTGGAATGATGAACAACTGTTTCATCAGCTCAGCTCTTCGGAGCTTCCAAATTCTTCAAGAGAGTTTCAGTTGGGAGTGTTCACATTTTTTCCTGAAAATATAAAGCAGCAGCTAACAAAAACCTTTCCATGTTACTTTTTCTACAGAGTTACTATTATAAGTACAAAATTCTTCAACAAGTTTTATTAGTGTGTTCTTTACTTTGTGCTGTAACGAATGTTACAGTAAAAATAAAATTTTATCTGCAGACATCTTCCAATGTTGGAACATATCCCTATCTTTACTGCACACGGGGCAATCACAAGCTGGACATCAATCCACCAGGTAAAATTAGCTTGTTGAACCGAAGACACAATTATTATTTCAGCAAAGGAGAGCTTAAATGCACGTGGAAGAATGTCCTGTGGCTCAGCTGGCGTCCACAGAACTGACAAGCCACACCAGCAGGAAAAATCCAGCATTGGGAAATTCTCCTCCACAGATCTGACAGTACAGAGGAAAGCTGAGACTATTACCAAGTGGCACTGGCAGGTCTCTGAGCCTCAAATGAGACGAAGTATTTAAGAGGACTGTCTCAAGTATCATTTTAATTACTATGAACAAAGTGGGTGCTGAGGTTCCTAGCAAACCAGTTAGTATTATCATCAAGTAACTGTGACATCTATCAAATATTTTGTCTTGATTTTAGATATTCTGACTCACTAACAAGGACTTATTTAAACCAGATTTTCATTTGACAGGAGCTGGAGGCAGATAGGGAAAAGATGATCGATTCCCATGCCTATTTGATATAATATACTATCATTTGGTCTTGTGAGTGAAAAGAAGTTATATACTGATCCTTTACTTGTTCTAATTGCATTACATCAAGTTGTTGGACTAAACACTTGGATATGTCCTTGTAGTCATTTCTCTTTAACTAGCAAGACAATGTAGCAAGACACATAATCATTTCAAAGTGGTATTGACTCTGTCAGTGTTTTGCCAAACACCTCTTTTTTCTGCAGGTACTCCCATTAATCAAGATTACAAGATTGTCTGCAATGTCACATCACGTACATCTAGTTCCTTCCACTCGTCATAGCACAAAGACTACTTCTCTTACTAATTTTAATTTAGGACTTTCTCCCTCCGACCATACAACACATGAATATCCAAAATGCTGTTTTAACTTATAAGTCTGTATGAGTGAACAGTCATTAACTGGATTTCTCTTAATTCTTAGAGTGCATTTCCATGGTGCTTAGTATTTATACAGTTCCATGTACAGAAATTATTCAACACTAATCATTTTTTAACAGGCCTTGCAGTCTATTTCATTTGCATCAGGGGTTAGCCTTTTACTGTGTTTTAGGAATTAATTGCTGGGTAAATGCAAAGAGAAGTTTACTCCTAATTTGTTATTATTTCAAAGACTGTTTCTGCCATTGGAATTTCTATATACTGGTTTCTGACAGCAAAGTACTTTCACAGAGCTGGTATTTGGAGAAGAATGTCCTTGGATGGTTGTTAAGGGGTTTTTCAGAGCATTACAGATTTTTACTGAGCAACTCCAAAGGAATACTTGTCCAAGCTACTGAAAGGCCAGTGGAGAGAATCAAATCTGTAAATAGGGTGTACTGGTCCTCTGGAAGCACTATGCCAAACTGACAGCATTGTTAACTGAGCAAATGTACTTACCTAGGACATTTATACTGACCAAATCAATAAATACCCTGTAGACTGCAATATTTCAAGTACGTTGGGGGAAAAAAAATTTCTATTAATTTAATTCTGTCTTCTTATGTCCTTCCATTTTTTGCAGACTAGCCCAATTATTTATAAGGATTGCATGTAATCCACTGCAGAAAGGACAGCATGTATGCCTACACATTGCTGCTTATTTCAATTTGCTCCACTGTGTTTCCATGCTCA